TCCTCTTCTCTTTTCTCTGTGCCTTTGCTGCCTCCGTTCGTGGGTCACGACATGTGCAGATATATTTTTTTTTTTAAGAATGAAAAATTACATTTACTATCCCATTACATTATAACTTTTTACTTTTAAGTGTACATAAGTACCATTAATTTAATTTGATACCCTTCATTATTTTTTTAATATTAATAAATTATATTAGTGACTTGAATAGTAGGTGAAATATTAATGAAATGTTATGTTTTTATGAGTCTATAATTTTTTTTCAAAAGCATTTATATTTTTTTATTAATTATTTAAAATTGTGCCGTATCTTACAATACGATACACCTTCCGATATGCTATTTGACAACTATGCCTCATTTTACAAATAACACATTCTCATTGAATTTGAATAAGAATATATCTATTTTTATTGTGGATAAGTTTAGAACATTAATGCCCAGGTGATATTGAGTTATTTGAGTGGGAGATTTACTCAAAGACATCTCAGTTGCGAGAGGTTGAAGGTGGGAACTGGATGATGCTAGTTGCAAATGATCATACATGAGTGCACCTAACATAGTTATGGGGAAAGATGAAGGATCAAAGTATCTTATGTATATGTAACTAATATGAATGAAAGACAAGGATGTGATTATATTACAAGAAAATATAGAAAGTTGCGGTGTGAATATACACAAAATGCAAAACATTTGGACCGGATGCCAATATGCTAAACTTGCCTCCCAAAAATAAGTAAGAAATTCCTTGTTTGACATGTCCAATAAATGTTAGATCATCTCTAATGAAAATTTAAACTCTTATCTAAATTTGAATAAAATATGAGTAAAAACTTAATTTGATACAAAAACACTCCAATGGAGAAACTCAAACTTAAAAGAGGACAAATTAAAATTTGAATTTGGACAAATCTAAATTTAAAGGAGGATAGAATATGACCATTAGATTTTTAAAGGAGAATAAAATATGACCATTAATGATTTGAGTAAAAATTTGAATCTCTTTTGATTTTGGTAAAAATTTGAATCTCTCTTGATTTGGTATGGGTTTGGGTATAGCATTAGAGAAAGTTTATAGGAATTTTTTACTCAAATTTAAATTTAGGTTTATAAGGGTAAGGGTTGAAGATGCTCTTAGATGACCAACTTAAATTTAAAAAGGGTCGATAATGAGAATGTGGTTAACCCTTATTAGAAGCCATGAACTTGCAATCATCATGTCATCCATATCATCAATGTTGTGCTTAGGATTCCCTTGTTATTTTGTATGTCAATTGCAGACTTTTTGACGAGGTAGTGAGGTTATGTCATCGTTGGGGACTAGTTCCGTATCTTATACTCTTATTGACTAGCTAGTGAGGTTATTGTTGGGGACTAGTTATGTAGTGCATGATCTTTATCATTGAATAGTGTCCAATCTTATTAGTGCCAACATGATAAATAAACTAGCATTTTCTGTATTTTGTTTTATGTTAGTTATGGGTACTATGACCATCAACATTTTTTTCTTCATGATTCTTGCTTAGAAAGGAACAAAGCCTCTAAACTCAATCATTATAAAATATATATTTTTGCATTCTTCGATGTGATTTCTTTGTATTAGACTTGTGGCCTTGTTGGGCAAAGGTGATACTCATAAGTCGGCAAGTTTAATATTGAACGGGATAGAAGTCACTTAATCACAATTCTAGAACTTATAATTCAGTGAAATGATTGCTATTCCTTTAGGGAAGTGTTAAAATTTCAGTGCACCAAATCTACCCTTACAGCATTGCTGATTAATTAAAAAACCATTCATCCCAGTCACATCGTAATTCATTAACTTTCACATTCACTGTTTTCTAAATATTTGTCTTGCATGCATTAAAACAAATTTCAATTTATTGAATCTTCCAACTCTATTTCTCTCGATGTCGATTCAGAATCCCTAAATTTCAACGTAAGAAAAGAATCTCATTCAAAAGGCTGTATCTGTACTCAGCTCTGTATTACTTAGTCTTACCACTTATCTCTCTTATAAAAGGCTTTGTATCTGGATTTTTGAGTTCCGCTCTATCTGTAGACAAAAAAATGGGCATATTTTCTGTTTGGCCATGGGCGTTAATGTCTTTTCCAATAGCTCTCCTCACTTCCCTTTGTGCTTTCTCATTTTCTTGCTGCCTGATGACCATTCTACTTGAATATTTGAATCCTTGTTGGTTCAAGCGCTATTTCTGCAATATCTCTATATAAGCTTTCTTGAATTTTTATTTTATTACTTGTTAGTTTAGTCACATAAGGATTATGCTGATACTTTGTACTAAATCAGATTGCAACGATGGTGTATGATGAATGTCGGACGATTCAAGCAAAGTTTGTATGCATGCACTCTAGGAGAATGCCTGATAAGTAAAGTACTGAATGTGCTCAAGACAAGCCAGAATAATTTCCCACCATGATTTCCTTTGTTTCTAATTGTAGCTTTATATTAGGCAAAAAGCAAATCCAAGATGGTTTTTATTTTTTATTTTTGTTTTTTGATACAAATTCCAAGATGGTTTTTTGTTAGATTAGTTTGGCGTTCAAACAAGTGATGTTTTCCTAGCTCCTTAACAAGCCATGGAAGATCAGATGCAGGACTGATTCCCGCATTGCATAAGCCAAATGTCAATATAAGCTGATACATTGCATATATTTTGACTTTAACATTTTTTATAACTAGAGGAACTGTCCTTCTACAGTGTTATACTTTCAACTAAACTGTATCCTGAATCCAAGATTCTTGTCAAGCCATCTGTTTTAAGGTTCGGTGATTCCAGCAATATGCTTATACATCTTCTTTTGATTTGTTTAGGGCTGTGATTACTGCTCATTGCCTGACTTTCAGCTTGAAGATTTATCTTGCCTCCATTTTTGTTTACTTCAAAGTTTTTGTTTTGGATTTCATCAAACAATTAACTATACAGACGATCTGTCTTTATATTCTTATTTTTTTTACATCTTTTTTGTCTTTCAGCTGTGGCTTGTGGGTAAATTAGTTAACCTTTTTTAATACCGTCCGTGAGTATATCTCTTGTTCTTGTTCTGTAGATGGATGACCGTTAGTATATTGCGATGCGGTGCATTTGTNTACATCTTTTTTGTCTTTCAGCTGTGGCTTGTGGGTAAATTAGTTAACCTTTTTTAATACCCTCCGTGAGTATATCTTTTGTTCTTGTTCTGTAGATGGATGACCGTTAGTATATTGCGATGCGGTGCATTTGTTCGTAGTTCCATGGATGTCAATGGACTTTTGTATCACTACTGCTTGAGGCTCATTCTGCTTGATTGAATGTGATCCAACAGTTAAGCTAGTTTCCAATTATCCAAAAGTAGGTATTATGATACAAATTTTTTTGTGCTGCTTGAAGTATCCAGCTTGATTTTGAAATGGTTCTTTTCCTGGAAATGATCGTCTCTGGGCATTCTCGATTAAATCTCAAGTGGGTTGGTGTTTGAGTTATGGTTGTTACAAGACTGCCAACATTTCCGGTAATGAGATCAGTCAGCACAATGAAGGTAGTCGAGGTAGATCTTAGGCAGCATAATTTAACTTGGTTCTAGTAATCTCTCTTGTTCTTGGGTAAATTTGAGATTATATGACGGTTGGGTGATATTTTGTTCAAACACAGTCGCATGATGAGAATTGTGCAGCTAACAAATGATTGTGCTGCCCACATTATCACTAATGTTATTGGGACTCACTGACAATCTAATAGTTATAATCATTAAGTTCTTAAATAATGTTCCAATTGCATTGCTCTTTACAATCTTTAGTATACATCTCCACACAGACACATACCAAGGGTTGCTTCACCAAAGGTGATCACACCGGCAGGGCGAATTACGGGTTACAAGGTAATGCTACAGTCGATGAAATGAAATTTAGATTAATTCTTTTCAGGCGGTTGGTCGCTTGAAGCCCCACCCATCTTTTAAAAAGTTTTTTCTAATGTCATAGCAAACCAATGCCTTTTCTACGAAGAAAGCAGATAACGGAAACAGCCTTTATCAGGTACCTTGTTAACTAGTAATCTGATCCTCTTTGGACCACAAATCTCAAACAGCTCTGCACTTACTGGCCGCCTTAATTGGTTGGCTTCTATCATTGATTGAATAGTCACAGGTCAGGGGACAAAACATATGTGGCACATATATTATGCTTCAAAATGAATGGTTAAGAGAGGTTTGTATTTGGCCTAATGATCATCGTTTTCGCTGGTAAATTTTAAAGTCGTAAATTTGAATTTTGTCGTTACTTTTTTTATAATAGTGTCCGGCCCAATATTATATTACAATTACAAGAGTTTGTTGAAGTAGTGATTAGAACAACGATAATGTTATTTTATTGTGATTTAAATATTAATTATTTGAGTTGCAAAAATAATTTCTTTGTATGCAAAAGATAAAACTAAGTACATCTGAAGTGTGAAAATAATCTCTTTTTATAATCTAAGTATATCTAATCCTTCTTAAATCTCAAAAAAAAAAAAAAAAGAATTTTGTAAAATTTGAGTAAAAAGTTTGATTTAATATANTCGAGGTAGATCTTAGGCAGCATAATTTAACTTGGTTCTAGTAATCTCTCTTGTTCTTGGGTAAATTTGAGATTATATGACGGTTGGGTGATATTTTGTTCAAACACAGTCGCATGATGAGAATTGTGCAGCTAACAAATGATTGTGCTGCCCACATTATCACTAATGTTATTGGGACTCACTGACAATCTAATAGTTATAATCATTAAGTTCTTAAATAATGTTCCAATTGCATTGCTCTTTACAATCTTTAGTATACATCTCCACACAGACACATACCAAGGGTTGCTTCACCAAAGGTGATCACACCGGCAGGGCGAATTACGGGTTACAAGGTAATGCTACAGTCGATGAAATGAAATTTAGATTAATTCTTTTCAGGCGGTTGGTCGCTTGAAGCCCCACCCATCTTTTAAAAAGTTTTTTCTAATGTCATAGCAAACCAATGCCTTTTCTACGAAGAAAGCAGATAACGGAAACAGCCTTTATCAGGTACCTTGTTAACTAGTAATCTGATCCTCTTTGGACCACAAATCTCAAACAGCTCTGCACTTACTGGCCGCCTTAATTGGTTGGCTTCTATCATTGATTGAATAGTCACAGGTCAGGGGACAAAACATATGTGGCACATATATTATGCTTCAAAATGAATGGTTAAGAGAGGTTTGTATTTGGCCTAATGATCATCGTTTTCGCTGGTAAATTTTAAAGTCGTAAATTTGAATTTTGTCGTTACTTTTTTTATAATAGTGTCCGGCCCAATATTATATTACAATTACAAGAGTTTGTTGAAGTAGTGATTAGAACAACGATAATGTTATTCTATTGTGATTTAAATATTAATTATTTGAGTTGCAAAAATAATTTCTTTGTATGCAAAAGATAAAACTAAGTACATCTGAAGTGTGAAAATAATCTCTTTTTATAATCTAAGTATATCTAATCCTTCTTAAATCTCAAAAAAAAAAAAAAAAGAATTTTGTAAAATTTGAGTAAAAAGTTTGATTTAATATAAAACACTTCAATGAAGAACTCAAAGTTAATAAATTTAAATTTAAATGATAACAAATCTAAATGTAGAGGATATTAGAATATGATCATTTAATCTTTAAAGGAAGATAAATTTTGAATATCTCTTAATTTGATAAATATTTGAGTAAAGAATTGAAATTTGGAGATTGTTTTTAGTATGTTTTTATTCAAATTTAAGCAAAATTGGATAAAGATTAGATATGCTCATAGATTAAATAATATACAAATTAGATATAAATTTAATAAATTTTAAACCTATACCACCCAAGCAAACTTAAACCCAACCAAAAGGACATATGAACCACCTTACTTACCCGGGGAAAAAAAAATCAATCACGTTAGAGTTGTATTTGAATATTTTTATCATTGTTATAATACTAAAAAAATAATAAAAATAATTATAATAATAGTGATAAAAATATTCATAAATTACCACAATATTGAACAATAATAAAAAATACTCACAAATATAGTGAATCATTCAAAAAATAAAAAAATAATAATTATAAAATAACTCATAAATATTAAAATAATAAATTTTAACTGAATTATTTTTTATCGGTACCACAATGAAATTCAAATCCAACAAATACAGACCACTAAACAAAAGACAGACAAGACGTAAAAACCTGTGGAGGAAAGCAAATGGCTTGCAAAATCCGGCATTTTCTCACTCCGTCACNTTGAGGTAGATCTTAGGCAGCATAATTTAACTTGGTTGGGTGATATTTTGTTCAAACACAGTCGCATGATGAGAATTGTGCAGCCAACAAATGATTGTGCTGCCCACATTATCACTAATGTTATTGGGACTCACTGACAATCTAATGGTTATAATCATCAAGTTCTTAAATAATGTTCCAATTACATTGCTCTTTACAATCTTTAGTATACATCTCCACACAGACACATACCAAGGGTTGCTTCACCAAAGGTGATCACACCGGCAGGGCGAATTACGGGTTACAAGGTAATGCTACAGTCGATGAAATGAAATTTAGATTAATTCTTTTCAGGCGGTTGGTCGCTTGAAGGCCCACCCATCTTTTAATAAGTTTTTTCTAATGTCATAGCAAACCAATGCCTTTTCTACGAAGAAAGCAGATAACGGAAACAGCCTTTATCAGGTACCTTGTTAACTAGTAATCTGATCCTCTTTGGACCACAAATCTCAAACAGCTCTGCACTTACTGGCCGCCTTAATTGGTTGGCTTCTATCATTGATTGAATAGTCACAGGTCAGGGGACAAAACATATGTGGCACATATATTATGCTTCAAAATGAATGGTTAAGAGAGGTTTGTATTTGGCCTAATGATCATCGTTTTCACTGGCAAATTTTGAAGTCGTAAATTTAAATTTTGTCGTTACTTTTTTTATAATAGTGTCCGGCCCAATATTATATTACAATTACAAGAGTTTGTTGAAGTAGACATTAGAACAACGATAATGTTATTCTATTGTGATTTAAATATTAATTATTTGAGTTGTAAAAATAATTTCTTTGTATACAAAAGATAAAATTAAGTACATTTGAATTGTAAAAATAATCTCTTTTTATAATCTGAGTATATCTAACCCTTCTTAATTCTCAAAAAAAAAAAAAAAAAAGAATTTTGTAAAATTTGAGTAAAAAGTTTGATTTAATATAAAACACTTCAATGAAGAACTCAAAGTTAATAAATTTAAATTTAAATGATAACAAATCTAAATGTAGAGGATATTAGAATATGATCATTTAATCTTTAAAGGAAGATAAATTTTGAATATCTCTTAATTTGATAAATATTTGAGTAAAGAATTGAAATTTGGAGATTGTTTTTAGTATGTTTTTATTCAAATTTAAGCAAAATTGGATAAAGATTAGATATGCTCATAGATTAAATAATATACAAATTAGATATAAATTTAATAAATTTTAAACCTATACCACCCAAGCAAACTTAAACCCAACCAAAAGGACATATGAACCACCTTACTTACCCGGGGAAAAAAAAATCAATCACGTTAGAGTTGTATTTGAATATTTTTATCATTGTTATAATATTAAAAAAATAATAAAAATAATTATAATAATAGTGATAAAAATATTCATAAATTACCACAATATTGAACAATAATAAAAAATACTCACAAATATAGTGAATCATTCAAAAAATAAAAAAATAATAATTATAAAATAACTCATAAATATTAAAATAATAAATTTTAACTGAATTATTTTTTATCGGTACCACAATGAAATTCAAATCCAACAAATACAGACCACTAAACAAAAGACAGACAAGACGTAAAAACCTGTGGAGGAAAGCAAATGGCTTGCAAAATCCGGCATTTTCTCACTCCGTCACCTTCTGTCATGTCCCCATAACACCCTCCTCTCTCTCTCTCTCTCATATCCATCTCTACAGTACAATCGCCATATCCAAATCTGAACCTTCCTGTGAGATGAAAAGTCAAACAAATCTCAAAGACCAAGAAAATATAATTTAATAAAAAAACAAAAACAAAGCAGAGAATATCCACAACCGACGAATCAACAACATTTTGTTTTTCTTGCTTTATATTCAATCATTCTCAGCTGAACCAGTCTCTCTCTCGCTCTCTCTCTCTCTCTGTCTTCATGGATTCAGACTTTTGGACCTCTCGCCTGGCCGACGCCAAGAGGCAATTCACGTTGAACCACCACCACCAAAGCCATAATCATCGCAACCATCNCGCTCTCGCTCTCTCTCTGTCTTCATGGATTCAGACTTTTGGACCTCTCGCCTGGCCGACGCCAAGAGGCAATTCACGTTGAACCACCACCACCAAAGCCATAATCATCGCAACCATCACAACTCTCAATTGGGTTTGTTTTTATTGCTTTGGATTGATCTGAAGTTATTTTTTGGAAGCAGTTTGTGTTATATTTGGTGTTTTTGTTATTTGGCAGATCGGTTGAATATCGATGATTTCGAGGTTGAAGAAGAGGTCCGACCCGATTTTCCATGCCCATATTGTTACGAGGACTTTGATATTGTCTCTCTGTGCTCGCATCTCGAAGATGAACACTCGTGCGAGTCCAAAGTCACCGTGAGTTTCTCTACATATCATCAGTATCATACAAATATTTATATATATGCCTCTTATATTTTTGTAAATTATTCCTTTGTCTTTTTCCAACTTTTTCCAATTTTCCTTTATGCTTTACGTTTTGATTTGCTTTTTTTTTTTTTTTGTTGAAATGTTTTGATCTTTGTTGTACCTTTGTTCAAAATGGTTAATAATTATCTGATTTTGCCTGATTTTTTTTTTTGGATTTCATGGGTTGTGCAGATTGAAGTTTCAAATTTGTGTCTATTATGATTCCATTTTGTTTTGTTTTTGTTTTTGTTATGTTTTCCATTTCTGAATAAGGGGTGTGGGCAACTGNTCTATTATGATTCCATTTTGTTTTGTTTTTGTTTTTGTTTTTGTTATGTTTTCCATTTCTGAATAAGGGGTGTGGGCAACTGAGTGGAAAGGTAGAAGTTACCCAGTTGCGTATGTTGAGAGGTCACCATTCTTGGTGTTTGGTTGGTCACAAATACGAATAAATATTACCCACGATAGCACTGTAGTGTAACCGTGAAATAAAAAAAGAGTAATGCTAGATGGACTAAATTTGGAGCAGTTGATTTGGGTTTCTTTATTTTGTAGGACTAACTTGCTTATTTGTNTGGGCGCAACGGTTACCCACGATAGCACTGTAGTTAACCGTGAAATAAAAAAAGAGTAATGCTAGATGGACTAAATTTGGAGCAGTTGATTTGGGTTTCTTTATTTTGTAGGACTAACTTGCTTTTTTGTTCACTTAGTGGAGGGTTACACCATATCATGGGTGGTTACTTAAGTTTGTAGGACTAACTTGCTTATATGGTGTAACCGTTACATTTAATATATTCTCCACAAGTAGGCCGTCACTAGTTTTTGTCTGTAAACTGAAAAAAGTTAAGTGGCAGTGCGCCAATGTTATGTGGTTTATACACCTAATAAAAAATTATCATGTCAAATACACAAGTTCATTTTTTTTTCAAAAAAGTTCTAACAAAGTGATGAATGGCAGTTTTTCTTGAAAATGTACAACTTCTGTTTGGTTATGAACATCACGTGACGCTGTCAAATGGTGTGTTAAACCCGCAGAAAAATAAAGGTTACTTGTCTTTGGATTTTCTTATTTTGTTTATTTTCCTTTTTTGGGTTGTATACAATGAATGGATTGCATTGCCTGTTTCATTCTTGTAGCTGTATATTCTCAAATAGGAGTGTGTTTTGAGGGTGTGAGTAGGCAACAACATTTTTTGACAACTAATAGAGAAAATGGTGAGTGGTGAATAATAAGCAGCATCAATTTTGTGTTCAAGTTGANGTTGTATACAATGAATGGATTGCATTGCCTTTTTCATTCTTGTAGCTGTATATTCTCAAATAGGAGTGTGTTTTGAGGGTGTGAATAGGCAACAACATTTTTTGACAACTAATAGAGAAAATGGTGAGTGGTGAATAATAAGCAGCATCAATTTTGTGTTCAAGTTGAGGCTACTGATTAGCAGACTATTGCCCAACGATGCTACCATCACTAAAACTTCAATCAATTTTTCTGTAGCAAATCAACGGGGATTATTGGGTTAGTGGATCTAATTTATTCAAACTAAGCATCCAGTGATTATGAAAGTGCTACATCATTTGGTACAAAAAAATTTAGAATTTTTTTTGGTAATTCCAACTTTATTTTTAATGAAGGGGCAAAAAAGATTTTGAGCAAGAATTTATGCTCGGATTTACTGAATGTGGAAGAAATTAGGTACCATGAGATAGCAGAGTGCTTAGGTGGACATATTTTCCGGAAGCTTTCATCAGTGTTCTGCTATGGATGGAATCGATGGAGATAAAAATGAGTGTCCATAGATATTGCACTAGAGCCTATCAGTCAGTTCAACAGGAAAGGAGATTCATTTGGAACAATTGAAGCCTTTAGAACCCACCCTTCCTCCCTCACTTTAGGGCCCGCAACTAGATCCATTATCTACTTCCTTGCCTTTTATTATTAATGAATCAACCCAAGGTTTATATAATGTCTGGTATATGATATGGAAGATAGTAGAAAGAGAAAGGATATCAATGCTCACGATAACTGTATGCAACTCAAACTTCCTTTGAAATTTTGCTAATAACCAGGTTTAGTACAATGGAATCGTGTACAGGTAGGATTTCCATTGAATCTGTTTTCAACAATAGGGACAAGACCGTAAAGGAGTTTCACTTTGACATTCTCGAAGGAATGCAAAAAAGGATTATCGGAGTTAAATATTTGACGATAGATTGTGGCTCAACAGAAATACTATATATTATTTCAGAAAACCACCATTATGGCAGCACAATTCTTGTATATCATCTCTTTATGGCCCCCTTTCGTAGACAGGTTCCTCCTCCTCCTTTTGCCCCACCACCACCCAAAACATGAAAAAGGGGGAGAAGGGAAAGGAAGAGGGAGTATATTGAAACTTATGTTTTTATGATAAAGTGGAGGTTAAGAGTTTGAGGACTACTTTCCGAGCCAGGCAGCTGGTTGATAATTTTAATGGTTTGGATAAGTCAATGAGAGGTTAGAAATTCTTCTTGAAGTTAAATCCAAACTAAACTGAACTCATCTACTTCAAGTGGATATCAATCTGCTCCTGCGGTTGCTAAGGGCAAGTGCACAGGTCGATTGAGATGGAAAGTTGGAATTTTTCTTGGATTTCCATATAGTTCAAGATCAATGGCTGTTCAGCTGCTCTTGCAATGGAAAGTAGAGGAAAATAGATAGAGAGACAATAGAGGGTTAGTGTAGGAACGCCACTGAGTAGGATATGTATACTTTATTACTGATAAGTCTGATTTGAGAGCTTGATCATGCAACATAACGAGGTTCTGGTTTTCTGAATGTTGTTCTTGTCAAAATTTATTAAAATGATAGTCAATGGCATGACTGTTCTTAAAGACTTACTGCTATCAGTATTGGTGTCTGAATTTTTCGTCACAAGAATCTCATACTGCATCTGCCTTTTCCTTGCAGGTTTGTCCCATTTGCTCTGTTAAAGTTGCAAGTGACATGTTAAGTCATATCACTCTGCAACATGGGCACTTATTCAAGATATCCTTTGAAATGGAAAATCATTTCATTCATTTGTTTGACTTCTGATCGCAGCTTTGAACAGTAAACATATATGGCTGCACTGTTGATAACATTCAACCATGTTCAATTTCTTGAAGTTTTCTTTAACTTGTGATCACATGCATAGACGTCGCAGGTTACGTAGAGTGGCAATGCCCGACAGTCAGGCACTGTCTCTTTTGGGGAGGGATCTTCGTGAGGCGCATCTGCAGGTGCTTCTAGGGTGTGGTAGCTATCGGTCAAAAAGTGCTACTTCATCAAATGCAGTTACAGATCCACTACTTTCATCTCTTTTTCTGAACTTCCCTGCATCTGAAGCAGAAGAAATATCAAAATCTGTGGTATCTAGTATTGAGGGCACTGCTACAAAGAGTATGGCATCACAACCAATATGGAAATCAAGGTAGTCGATCAAGTTCTTTTTCTTTCTTATAGAGAACCTTTTCTGTGTGCAGGAATTAGGTGTCTGTCGAGCATCATATAGTGAGTTCCTTAAAACTGCATGACATGGTACTGTGAAGTAGATTTTGAGAGTCTTTCTCCCAAAATTTGTCAGACCATCAAATGATTTAAGCAGCATTCCTGTACAAAATATACGAGGCACGCCTGTAATTCATGACGTTGTTAATTAGAGGGTGAGTTGAAACAATCTGCATAATGAAATTTGAAGCATCAAGTCTCATGTTCACTCCAAAGGTCCATAGTGGCACTGGTTGACTTGACAATTATTTGCCCTAAAGGCCATCGGTGTGCTTAACTTTGGGTGGTAGGCAATGGCCCCCTGTAGGTACCTCATCCCCCCACCTCCCCAAAGCAAAACGAAAAAAAGAAGGAAAAAATGTCGACACCAAATGTCAGGTCCAAATCCACTCTCAGTGCAAGAAGGTTTCTTTTCTTTTTCTTATTAGGGTATTTGTTAGACATTCAAAAAAGAATCTTGTTTTAGACTTGTACTACATCCATGCTCTAATCTCAAAAGCTGGAAATCGGGTTGTTTTAGGATTTGTGCTCTAACCCCCTCTGTTTTTCTCTCTACCTTCGTTTCCTTGCAGTTTTGATCCATCGTTAAGTGATGAAGAACGGGAAAAGAGAATGAGACAGGCTACCGGAAGAGCTGTTTTTGTCCAAGATGTGCTTGTCTCAACACTGTTAGCCGACTAGTGGGAGCAGTAAGTTGTTTGCGATTTGCAAAATAAAGATAACATCAATATTCAGTAAAATTCTGATGAGGGGCATTTCTGGTTGAGCTCTTAGTGATTTATTGTTGAACAACCACCCCATTAATGCCTCATGTTGATGTTTTACTGAAGCAGCAGTAGTAAGTGCTTAATTGTAAGATCGATCTCTTCGGCTCCTCTGGACACTGCTACCTATATGGAAGAGAAGAGGATCTTCTGGTTTATGACAAATCCACTTTAGAAATGGTTGTGAAATTAATACTAAACCCTTTGAGAGCAAAAAGCTAGCAATGGATGGAGTCTTGTGCTCAGTTTGTAATAGAAATGCTTTTGTTTGGGGTAGTAACAGCAGAGACAACACTGATTAACTCTTGCTGAGCCTGTATTATATGTAGAATGCAGAATTTAAAGTGATTGCATAACTTTTCTTTCATTTCATTTTTTCTGGTACTTCTCTACTTCTTTGCTAAACACAGAAAAACAGATAATAATTCCTAGTTTTATAGAAAAAAAAAAAAAAAAATTCATTTGGAAAGCTTGTCCGCAATAAACTGTACAGTACAATTCCTGAAATTCTCTCACATATATCCAATTTTTTTCCAAATAAGAGGTAGGAAGAGATAAGAGACTCTTACGCAGAAAGTAGTCGGAAATTCATAATATAGTCCGACCACAACGAAGGAATTAATTATCTTCATACATGAGGGACTGAGTACTCTAACTACTATAAGAGTACAAAGCATCTATCTAAATAATGTTATGGGATTATGGAAGTTATATTAAATATTTTATGAGACATTTAGATATAAACTCTAGCATCTGCTTTATACTATCCCTAGTGTCATCACATCATCGTACCAATCAAATACTACTAAAGTCGAGCTCATACTATAAAAACAAGTAAAAATGTAGCCGAGCCTAAGAAAAATCGGAGCATGAGGCTCAATATTGATACAAACTTGAAATGCTCAGACTGAGCTCAAGTTCGAGAATCAAACACAAGGCTCAACATTGATACAAACTTGAGCTCAATTTGTGCATATCAAAACTCAAAAAACTTAGTTCGATTAAGGTCTCTACATACCAGGTCCAAAGTCTCTCATCCATATCTTCATAGTCTAAGAAATCATCCTTAAATCCACTATATGCAACATGTAGTGTAGCTCTGTATCACACTACATGCTAACAAGTGGAACAGTCCAAGCATTTTCTCCAGCTAACCCTAATTTGTTGCATGTGATGAAATTTTTGAGGCACAACAAGCATGACATCAGCCTTTTTTTTATTTAACTTCACTTTTATATGGGCAAAATTGTCCAATCAGCTGTTTATTTTTAAGTGCCCTAAAGGTTGGATCGGTACTGGTTAGATCGTGAATTCAAATTTCAACGTCTCCTCTTTTGTAATAATTTTGAATAGTGTCAAAAAAAAAAAATCTTATCTTCATATATTTTTCTAGTTCATTTTTATCAAAAATTANGCCGTTTATTTTTAAGTGCCCTAAAGGTTGGATCGGTACTGGTTAGATCGTGAATTCAAATTTCACCGTCTCCTCTTTTGTAATAATTTTGAATAGTGTTAAAAAAAAAAAATCTTATCTTCATATATTTTTCTAGTTCATTTTTATCAAAAATTAAATTATTAAATTTTTCAGTTTTTATTTTAGATATTTATTCAGGATACTGTACATATATTAATATTTTTTTGAAGTCATNAAATTATTAAATTTTTCAATTTTTATTTTAGATATTTATTCAGGATACTGTACATATATTAATATTTTTTTGAAGTCATATATTTAAAATTATAGAATTAAAGAAAAATAAAAAAATATTATTTCATATAATGGGATGAATATTTTGGACCTTCGAATTTGTATAGCATGCAATATTTTTATAATTTGTGTAATAAAATATTTTTTTAATTAGGTGCTGTAGGAAAGAAACGACGAGATTAATATAGAAAGGAGAAGACGGGATTCAAATTCGAAATCCAAAAGTTCAATGACGGGATGATGGTCATTAGGCTACGCTCGTCCCCGCCCTGTAATGGTGTCCAACGAGCACGGGATGCGTGAATAGGAACACCAAGCTCATAATTCAATACTGGCTAACATAAATGCCTTCCTCCGCCGTTCCTCCGGCCGACGATCACCTCCATGGCCATCACCAATCCGCCAGTAAAGGTAAAGCTTCCGAAGCCAACCCTGACGTCGATGACGACGAAGAATACGAAGAAATTGAAGAGGAAGTGGAGGTAGAAGTAGAAGACGATGATGATGGAGTTGTGAAGATTTATCAGCAATCAATGAAGTTCATTGGAACGGGGCGTGTTAATCAATCACTGAAAATTGGTAATTTCTGTTTTGGTTTGACTGTTTATATATATATAACCAACGAGAATTATGAATGTTATAGCTTTGTGTATCGGTTGATTTTGAATAATGTTATTGAGTTATCTATGTTTTATCGTGTATCATTTGTTTATCTCAAACATTTTGAATTTACCTAATTGTTTTGTGTGTTTTTCTCATTGTATTAGTTTAGGGTTAATCTCATTATTTGCGTGTGTAATATATATAGGTTTGGTTCTTGTGGTGACATGCAATTGGGGTGCAATGGTGATATGCACAAATGCCGAGCATTTATAATGCAAAATATTTTTATGGGTATCGATTACTAAAGGATATGTTAGTCTCTTTAACTATTGTTGTAGCTCACCATTGCAATNAGCTTGTTTGATTCAAAATTATGAGGTATAACATATTTGTATGGCAATCTTTTTCCTAATTATGACGTTTTATTTGATTTGATTTCGTGTTCCGTTATTAATTTTGTTGAATGCGATGATTATGGGATATGTAAATTGGGTGCTGGATTTTTTATATATAACTAGACTGTTGTTATTGTTGTTTTTATATTTAAAAGTATTTGCAATTATGCTTTCTTGCATTTATGCACAAATGCCGAGCATTTATAATGCAAAATATTTTTATGGGTATTGATTACTAAAGGATATGTTAGTCTCTTTAACTATTGTTGTAGCTCACCATTGCAATTTCTGACCATTAGCGGAGGCTGATGAAGTGCAACTGTTGTCCCTTGTTCTTAGAGCTTAGTTTTATTTGACACATGGAAGGTAACAAACATTGTTCTTAATGGAATGGGGCACATTATCGCTGTCAGATTTGTGATCTACTGTCCATGTTCTCTTATCTGAGTCAAAAGCATGTGACGTGGAAGGATGCGGAGAACACAATTTTGATGGGTGTTTTAAGCGAATTCCATTAATGGTTGGTGGTAAAAGGGTTTGACAAATCTCGATGAGAATACAATTTGTAGGGGTGCTGCTGTTATTCATTGATTTCTTGTGCTCTTAACTTTAAGTAGACAGACAGCTGATGAGTGGCGTTGGAAAATTTATAGATTGGGTAAATTTTTATGGCTGGCATGATTTGTTGCGAGTCCTCTTGGTAGGTCCTATTAAATTAATTTAACATTCACCACAGCACAGAGTGAAAGGAGGATGAGAACTTGGTTTGATTAGATTTAAATGTTTGGCAGCTAAAGAGTGATAATCTAGGAAAAATCTATATGCTACTGGACTGTTGCCATTACTTCTTAATTTCTCCCCCTCTGAGATGTCACATCTAAAGGTATTTATGTTATTTTACGAGTGATGTGCACCAAATTAGACCTGTGTAGTTTTTTATCTCAATATTTCCACTCAATCCGTAAAATGCAAGAAAATGAGCCATAAATCTCAACATAAGTCACATGCTCAAGTTGAGTATAAAAGTTCAGTGAGGCTTTGTAATTTCATATTTCCCACATCTAATGAGATTCAATGATTTCCTTTGGTGTATTGCTGTTTGATTTTTGAACTCTGATGCACCATCTCAATATGCAGTTGTGACCTCTGATGATGCATACCGGCAACAAGCTGACTGACATAATAGTAGAAGAAGGGAGATGCAGAATTGCCCAACAAGTAATCGAGCCATCATATACTTCTCAAATTATTATTTGTGAGCGATAGAATTACTACAAAGGAAACTCAAGCTCAAGTCAATGGGGTGATTAGTGCAGTCCACACTTCCAGTAGGTGAGATGAGCAGTTAGGCAAATTGCGGTATTAAAAAATCTAATTGAAGGAATACAAAGTTTGGAGTCATTGTAACCTCTTTGCTGGGCGAGACTCCATCTGTATCCTTACTACTGGTTATTCTGGATTTTCCATTCTATCAGCTACCAGAAGAGAAGGCCATAAACATTATATTTCCTCTCTGTTACATGCGTCCTTCCATCGACGGGGTTGGCTGAAGGCTACTTGCGTTCTTTCATCGAATGGGTTGGCTGGATGGCACGACAGTCTCTGCATGGATGTGTAAGTGACCGGAAAATTTTCTGACCAAACCACTGGCTCCCTGTGGCTCCTTCCTTATTTGCTTTTGTTCTCATTTCAGTGTTTGGTTTTTTAGCTGATCTACTGAGGGCCAACTCATTGTCACTTGTTCTCCTGCTAGTGCCGTGAGCTGATGGTAACAAGTTTTTGGAATTGATATGCCCAAAAACCTGAGATTGATTTGATCGAAAGAGAACCCCTTGTTGTAAGAGGTGGCCACCGGAGAACACTGCATCAGCCTTGGAATTCTTGTTAAGACTGTCAGCAAGTGAGCCTGGTGGACCATGACCAAACTCGCATTCTGGGTCTTCTTTCTGAATTCGGCTGACATGTCTAATAGGAGGTAGTGGGAGTACATGGCTTGACATCTGACCAAAAGATTGCTTCTTGTTTGCTTTGTTTCTCACTTCAGAGTTTGGTTTCTTTGCTGATAGGCTGAGGCCTGACTCATTGCCTGTTGTTCTCCTGCTACTGCAGTGAGTTGGTGGCGACAATCCTTTGGCACTGGCATGCCCAAACACTTGAGATTGGTTCACTTGAAAGAGGATTTGTTGTGGTAAAATCTGGCCATTGGAGAACAATACATCGGCCACGGAATGCTTGTCAAGACTCTCAGCAATTGAGCCTGCTGGAGAATGACCAAATTCGAATTCTATGTCTTCCTTCCGAGTTCGGGTGGCATTCTTGAGCGGTGGTGGGAGTACATGTCCTGACAGAGACTTCAAGTACTGGTCTTGAACACATACAAGGCTTGTGAAGGAGAGTGAGTCACCTGAATTGGTATCTGCTGCGCCATCTAAGGACATCTTTTTTGGCATTGTGGTCGCCATGGATTGTGACAAATTCATCTGGTAAGAGTACTGAACTTATATATATACATTGCTAATATGGTAGTGTTTGGATGCACCTGCTTGTTCTGTTTCATTTGTTTTGGTGCTTTTCCTCTATTTTTTGGCTGTGGTAATTGCATGTTCTTCCATCTGTAGATTTATTCTTCTAACCCTTATCTGGTTCAAAAATGATTCTGTATCAATTTTGTAGAAGATAAAA